ACAAATTATTGATTCAGTTTATGCTAAACTAGTTATATTGGATTTGGTTAAGATTTAGTCAAACCGAAAAAAATAAATCAAACCTATTTAACAAATAATTAATAGGTTCGAAGCACTTCTCTCAACATATCTTAGATAACCATCTATTTTATAAACACGTCTCAATCATCCATCACCTTCAAATATATCCTTATTTATGTTTTGGCATTCAATCTAGTTGTGAAATTCTTAGTAAATAAAAATAATTCCCTCTCATTTATTATTTAGATATCAAACACATGAGCATAGGTTTTCTTGTCAAAACTAAAAACCAAATTGTTTGGTTTGGCTCATTTTTCATACTTAATGGTTCAGTTTTGGTTTTAATTCCAGTTGAGTGGAGAATGAGTGTATTAATTCCTATTTTTAAGAATAAAGGCGATGCACAGGATTGCACGAATTATAGAGGTATTAAGTTAATGTGTCATACTTTAAAATTATGGGAGTTGAATTCAAAATATAACTCTGTTTGTAATCAAACAACAATGTGTCCACCCCAAAAAAATATATTGAATTCATCCTAGCGAACAATTATGTGTTAACCTTGACTACTTGTTGACAGAAAAAAAAAAAAGAAAAAAAAAAGATGACAACATGTTATATTCACCAATACTGAAAACATAATCAAATGACTAAGGGTTGTGGTAGACGGTTCATATTGTATTCATTTTCTCGTGCTGCAAAGAACGCTAGTCCAATGAATTGAGATGTTGCTTAAGAAAGCACTAGTGGTCATTGATTGTATTATAGTGCTAGTGAAATGCACCCGAATAAGAAAGGCAATAAAGAAATCCATCCCAAAGAACATGTAACTAATGAGCATACCTGTTAACGGCGAATGGCGCACCATGGCGCAAAGGTCCATTTGGAGCCATGGCGCATAGCGCACGGCGCGGCGCGCGCTATTTTGAACATGGCGCAAGCTATATAAAAAATATAAAATAATAAGCATGAATATGAAATATGCTCGGGACAGTTAGAGCAAGGCCTTGCATTCCTAAAACCTCCAACGAGGTGTTGTTTGTGGCGTGTAATTCCTCCTTTTGTTATTTTACCACAAAAAATGCATGTCACACAGTTGTTGTCGGATTCATTTGTTAGTATAGCATAGTTCCATGCTGGATCTTTTTTTAAAGATTGAACTGAATCTGACATTTTATAATCACCTAAAAGCAAACAAATTAGATAAAA